TAAAAATACTGATATATATATATATATATATATATATATATATATATATAAACTTACTTAGCCCAAACTTTTGAATGGTAGTGTATCACGGTTTCTAATAATCAGAAATATTTCTGAAGAATCATGTGACACTGAAGACTGGAGTAAGGATGCCAAAAATTCAGCTTTGATCACAGCAATAAATCAAATTTTTACAATATATTCACATAGAAAACAGATATTTTAAATTGTATTACTATTTCACAATATTACTGTTTTTACTGTGCTTTTGGTCAAATAAATGCAGCCTTGTTGAGCAGAAGAAACTTTTTAAAAACATTAAATATCTTAATTATTTCAAACTTTCGACTGGTAGTTTAAATACCGTAAGTAACAACCTGTTTGGCTATTTCAGTATAGTTTCGAGGTATTTAAATAGTCTTGGGTCAAACAGAGCATGAGGGTCAAATAGTTCTCTCAATAAATGTGTAACTGAACACCATTATGTAGATAAAGTAAGATGACTAATTAATGAATACAGAAGAGGAAACACTGTATAACATGACCCAATTAAAGATGCGCACTATGTACTTAGAAAAGCTCCTTAAAGAGCCTTGAGTTCCTGAGAGAACATCATACACACAACAACAGTACAAGCACAAACGCTTACATAAAACATATAACTGGAAGTATTTGAATCTGAATTTGAGTGTTACAGCGTTTTAGCAAAATATCAAACCAAGTGGCATTAAACACTCTCTTTGGGACATTTTTTGTGTCATTACAGCAGTGTTAGGTCTGATCTGTAAAGCAGAACCAATTAAACGTCTGAGGGGCCAATCTGGGTCAGGTGTCACACTAATTCATGTTTTAACATATTACATAATTTCATTATTTCAGGCAGTTGATCCTGCCTATGTAATGTTCAAAGCTAAATGGATTTTATTTTTATTACTAAATGGATTGTATAGTAATTATATATATATATATATATATATAACTGAAATAAAATTAACATAAGTATTAGATAAATACTTAAATGAAAATGAAAAACCTTGCCTTGTCAGCTAGCTGAAGTTGCAGTAGTACTAAAACTGCTAAAAACAAAACTACAAATATTTAAAGACAGAGATATAAAAAGAACTATAAAAATTACAAGCATTTAAGAACATTCACTTAAACAAATTAAGTATATAAATAATACTACTAATTCTAAAACTACCTTAGAATACTATAGTCCAGCATAATTTGAGAATGTTTTAAACATTCAAATCCTAAATGTTTTACTATTATTTGTATTATTATTATTATTATTATTATTATTCATTGTAGATCATAATGGTACTTTGTAAATGTTTTTTTGTACAAGCATAAACCCTGGTTTAAATCAGAATTTCAATATTATCAATGTGATCATTTTTAACACCATTTTGTTTTAGTATCATTGCTTAAAAATAAAACAAAATAAAACAAAATTAAATACAATTTCTCAATTATAGTGCTCTAACACAACACTTGATGTGTAGACAAATCAAGTGCCAGAGGAGTGTGACTTCACACCGGTCTGTGGGATTCCAAGCCTAAGTTTAAGTCAAACAGGAGAAAGGCTCATTACATTTTCTCCATGTAATTTTCTCCACGCAGCCTAGCTGGGTGATTAGTTCCTGAGTGAAGCGATAGCTGCTGAATAATGACTGAAGGGACCTTATGAAGGGAATTATGATTGGTGTCGTGATCCTATAGGTAGACGTGGATCAGCTGATGCGAGCTTGACTAACATGGCCTGCCAGAACTAACGCTACGCTCCATTTATTCATCATACACTTTGATCAAAGCTACTTAAAAATAATATACAGAATCGTGCGCTTATATAAATTAGATACAAACTGTGAATGCTGGCTTGACAAAGGCTTTTCAGAAAGTTTAAAAAACTTTAAAGTTGGAGGATTATATAAGCTTTACTGACAGACATCAAGGAAAATCGAAGGGGATTTTTTGAACATCCACTACATGAAAAACTAAGTCAGATCAGTTAGAAAAGATGATGGAATTATCAGCAGAAATGTACAATGTAAGCATATGCGATTTGGGGGATTGTCTGATACGGGAACATTTTAGGGAATGAAGATTGAGCTACAGTTCAAAATGTTGGTGTCAGTTTATGGATTTAGAAAAAGTAACAGCCTGTTTCCTTTCTCAAGCCAGCATAATGATTTGTTAGTGCAGTGTAAACATTATTTCAGTTATTAATCAAAAATAAATGAATAAATCACACAAATAAATGTCTAATGAAGCACATATATGTCCTCTACACTCCAACTTCCTGTCAACTATGTCTCACGGTTCATTGGCAGTGTTTGTTTGGGGGTTATTTGGCATCTCGTCTCTCTTTCTCTCTGCTCACCTGTAGTTTCCTTCCTCAGTCTCTCTCCTCCTTTCTGCATTGGTTGACCGTTGCTGCTCCAGTTCTCCTCAGCTCAGAGATGGTGACTTTATATTTAAAAGCTTTTCCAAAAGATTTCAAGTGGCTCTTTCCAAGACTCCAGAGCAGCTGCAGGATAAAACTCTCCGTCAGGAAAGGAGGAATAGAGTTCAAGTGAAGAGGGAAAGGAGGGGTAGAGTCTGCTCATGTTTGCTGTTAAGGAGGAGTTTCTCTGAACTTCAGCTGCACACATATTTGCAAACATGGACACACAAACACACACTGAAACCAAACAGTAATAAATGACTGATATACAGTATCAGTGTGTCATGTTTTCAGATGAAGAGATCTGCTTTAGTTGTCAGCTTTAGTTTTAAGTGTAATTTCTAGGGCTATGCCTTAACACGATAAAATAACGCAATCTTACACTGATGCAGTTTCTGACAAACGTGATGCAGATCGACAACTGACTGTGTGATGTATGCAGTTTGATGGAATGCATGACGAATGATGGAATGCAGTTTTATGCCTCTAAAGTTTAAGATTTGATGGCAAAAAATGTCCCTATTGGTTTTTGACATTTATTTTATATGATATAGTTTAGCAATATCACACGAGCAAGACAAGAGTGCTGTTTCTCCAGAAAAATTGCACGATTGCGAAACTTCAATAAACAAAAAGTTATGTGTTCAATTTTAGACACAGTATTGTCTGTTTTCAACTTCGCAAACGAAAAGTTTCAAACAAAGCCACAGCAAAACTATTGACTTTTCGAGCGACACAGTGTTTCGTTACTGAATGAATTCATGAATTGAGTGAGCTAATAATGATTCAGTGACTCGTTCATAAAGACAGTCACTTGCTGCGTTTCTGAATGAATCAGCTGTTTGAACGAATCGGTTGAATGAATGACTCAATGACTCACTCAGTGTATTAAAACAGTGTTTTGCCGCCACCTATTGATCGTTTTATTTCTACCTCTTTCCAGTCACAGAACACTGACAATGAGATTATACAGTAAATGAAAAGATGTCCTTTTATTAGTATATATCTTACTTCTTTACTTACTTGTTTATATCTTGTAATATAACCTAGAAATTATAACACAAACACCCCAAACTGAGATGCCGCATGCCTGTAATCTCATCAGCAGGCCTCTGTTCAGTTGTCTTCGTTACCTGTTGATAGGTTTGCGCTGCAACGCTCCC